CGTCATTGTAAACGTGGCGTGACTGCGTTTTATCTCAACTGGACTCTAAGATAAGACAGAGACTCGACCCAAACCTGAGAACCCTAGAAACAATAGGAGATAGAGAAAGACAAGGAGAGGGCAGTGAGAAGTTGTAATAAATAGAAAAAATGGAGATTGGGAGATATGGTAATAGATGGAGAAAAAGGAAACTGAGAGATATGGTAATAGATAGAGATAAGAGAGATTGAAATATATGGTAATAGATAGAGAAAAAGTAGACTGAGAGATACGGTAATAGATAGAGAAAAAGGCGAATTGAGAGAAATGGTAATAGATAGAGCAAAAGGGGACTGAGAGATAGGGTAATAGATAGAGCAAAAGGGGACTGAGAGATAGGGTAATAGATAGAGCAAGAGGGGACTGAGAGATAGGGTAATAGATAGAGCAAGAGGGGACTGAGAGATAGGGTAATAGATAGAGCAAGAGGGGACTGAGAGATAGGGTAATAGACAGGTGAAAGGGAGACTGAGAGATTTTTTGCAAACACATTTTAGAACCTCTTCTTTTATCAGCCTAAAATTAAATATAATATTGTATACATTGTTTTTTGCTTTTTTATATATAAAGAGATGAGCATAGTTAGAAATAAATCAAACAAAGTTTACCAGCCCCTTCACGTGGCATTCTATTTTTAACTATATAATTGAAATGGAGTTTACTGAAGCTCGTGGTTCGTTGTTGCTTTTGTTTATGTTTTTTGAAAGCACCCCCATTCGACAAAAAATAAAATGTTTATAATCTGAAAATGCCATAAAATATTAACTGTTTTTTTTTTAAAGCTCATTGCAGAATACAACATCACAGACTTGGATGCGAGAATATGTTCCAACCTAAGTAAGGTCAGCTTAAAATAATCTGCATCTTCTATTCTGGGTCCAGTGTTGGTCGTAACTTTCACCGGGTGGAAAGTTGTGTCTATTCTTACAACCAAGGAGGCTATTTCGACGGCTGTTATTAGAATTTATTGAAAAGTGCAAGAAATATCGTGTACGACAAACCTTTGGTGATCTTTTTTTCTAGCCTTGAAGTGATCAAATTAATGAATGTCCAAAGTCTGCATATTCAGCTTTGGAATTTATAGAGGTATACATTTAGTTGGTTTTTTTTTTTTTTTTTTTTTTTTTAAATTTTTTTTTTTTTTTTTTGTGACTAGACAAGTTAAAAATATTTTTTAAATGTGGTTATTTTATTTTTTGGGAAAACTTAACAAAA